CATTTTTTAGAGGTGGAAATCCTAGCATTAAAGAATTGTTTTACAACTATTAAAATTAGTATTTAAAAGACTAAAGAGCTTGCTTTTCTCAACAGTTTTTTTCAACTATCTATTTATATCATCTGGCAAGTGAAAGAGTGTAAACTTTATTACCCTCTGCTTAACAATTATTCCATTAAGGTTGAGTTAGACAAGGGGAAATGTCACTTCACTGTGGAAACAGCAAATAAGAAGTAGCTACCTTTTGAATATGTAAATTCTTACCTTTAAGTCCACCCCCACCTTTCCCTAAAGCAAACAAGTATGTTAGGATGTTTGACTGTTACTCTGGCAAACTTCTGCACTATTGAAATGATTGCCAACAGTCTTAGGACGGTCTTAAAATAAAAACTATCTCATTATAACTGAAACTTGTCAAGCAAAGACCTTGTCCTGTCACTTTTGTTTGAAGGTTATCCTTGGGGGCATCAGTGTATTCCCCAAAATAATTAGATGATTAGCCTGCTGCTAAATACTATCCTCAGGGTGTTTGCTTCCAGTTACCTGTGGGTTTGTCCAAAGTCCTACGCATGGAATGCTAATTCAGATCACTAGGCCCATTCAGGAAACAATAGCCAGTCAAAACCAACAGATTCATGCTTGACCTTAACAAGCCAATTGGAAACATTATGCAAAATAATGTCGAGCCCATAGCTTTACAGATGCTCTCAGACCACTGGGCTTCACTGTGGGCAGAGCAGAGAAGACAATGCAGGTAGGCTTAGCACATGGCTCTGTGAACGCCATCCCCTGCAGGAGACAAGGCAGGCAGTGGTTGGTCTATTGGCTTTCTCAAAGAGCTTCAATTTAGCTCATCATTTTTCTTTTTCTGGCTCTCTTCAACCTGCTACCATTGCTGCAAAAATGGTAATTCTAGTCTAGAATCCCTTAAAGTGCCTTTTGAAAGAACTCTGAATATGTGACCCTGGTTTCCACAATGGCAGCAACTGCATCTCCTGACTTGCAGGTCTTTGGCAAGGAAGTTTCGCTACTCTTCCAGAGAGTAGACTCTCTTTGTCTTCCTCACCAAATCTGCCTTGCCTTGGGATGTGTCATAACCAACAGAAAGAGGGAGGAGTGATGCTGTGTCTTCTGAGACGAGGCTTTGGTCCACTCCTGCTGATTTTGGAGACTTCTTGGAATGCCATCCTGACACTGCTGCGCCTTGGAGCTGGGGCAAACCTTGAGGTGTGCCATATAGGAACAGATAGGTTTGAAAGCAGAGATGTTCAATCAAGCCCAATCTGTTACCAAATGACATCTCTGTTGAAAGAGCTTTCTGAGTGACATCAGTGACCCAGAGTAGCCCTGTCAGCCCACAGAATTAAGAAAAGCAATAGATGATCCTTTAAAGCTACCAAATACTGGAATCCTGTTTCAACAACCATTAGTCAGGTAGCCTGTAGCCAGTATATTGAGCAGCAGCTCAGGAAACAGAGCATTTATATAGCTAACAATTTGTTGACTTTATTCTTCATCCTGTCTGGGTTTATTACTTACACATGGCACAGGATTTTCCTGTGTAACCAGGAGCACAGTCATAGTTTCCAGAGTTTCCATTGCAATGACCTCCATTTTCACAGAGTCCACAGGAAAACTGGCATTCCGGTCCCCAGAGGCCATCAGGGCAGGCTTATACAATAAAAACAAAATGAAAGATGGCTCCAGATTCCACTCTCCCTGTTGCCTATGTGGGTTGGCAAATGTGTGTGTGTGTGTGTGTGTGTGTGTGTGTGTGTGTGTGTGTGTGTGTGTGTGTGTGTTGTGGTTTGCAAAGAAAAAAAAATGTTCACTAGCCTTTGAAGATTTATAGCACCTCCAAAAGTATTCCCTGAAGAAATCAACACAATGATGTGTCTGTCACTTTGGAAACACAGATATAGTAGTTGCCTTTTATCTTTTCTTTTCTATTTTTCTTTTGCTGAAAACGTGTGTGTGTGTGTGTGTGTGTGTGTGTGTGTGTGTGTGTGTGTGTGTGTGTGTTGTATTTTTTTCAGGCAGTAGCAATGGAAGCCATTTTGATACATCTTTGGAAGCAATTGTACAGAACAAACATGAAACAGAGGCGTAATTTGTAAAAAGCTGTCTCCAAACGCGAGCTTCGTGTCTGCTTTCCTCATCACTGCTTCCTTCTCTAAGCCTAGTCAAGGCAGAACCTTGCCGTTTGTATTCTTTTATGAGCATGTACAGTGTCTAAGGTGGCTAAAGAGAAACTGGGTGCTGTCCTGTTGCATGTCCTTTGAACCATTGATGGAAAAGACAAGCACTAGATACTACTGGCACATGGGACCTTTATAGACAACATATGATCCATTATCCAACCCCCTGCAAGTAAAACCTGGGAGAAATAATCCTCTGAACACAGAGAAAACAGTGAAACTTCCTTAAACACTTGACAGTGGTAGAAATTACAATGCACTATGCCCAACTGTGATGTATCTTTTGTGCTGGGCAGAGTCTCTGATAGCAGAATTACCACATTCTCTGAGGTGTCTATACAAGATCTGCAGCCATATCCTTATATAATTAGATCATATTTCCATTTAAAAAAAAACAGCAATCACACCTTTATCCTATATTAAATGAGGATTATAGAGGTGATGTGGTGTATCTGGTGTCATCGAGCTGTAAGCAGCAAAACTGAAATTTAATCCTCCATCTTTCAGTTTTGGAATCCAGTGCTCACATTACTCCATGATGCTAGACCATTAAGAGCCACTCAAGTCATGTATTGTGCTCTAGGAGACCCACAGTGGTTCTGAATTTCAAGTCTGCCTGCCGCATAACTATTTGAATCAAGATTTGATTTTTTTTGTAGTGGCATGGGAGTTGCACAGACTTCCTAAAATGTGTTAATGGAGGTCACTGGACCACTAGGTCCTCCTCATTGAGAAATCTGCCTGTAGCTGGGGTGTGCAATATTCAGGACACAAACTTTTACCCGGGATACACAGACAGGTTTTAAGTGGTTTTCTCTTCTATATCACAGGTTAATGGAGGAAAGTGGCTTTTCTGTTTGTAGAAGCCATTGCTGATAAACTAATGAGGTTGGTGTTAACTGTTCAGGGCTCTGTTCCCCAGTACCACTGAAACAATCCTTAATTGACTATTCATGTTTAATTCAGACACAGGCCCGGAGGTAAGAATCTTGAAGATGTGTCTGGCCCTGGACTACTCCAGTGCTTTAGACACACAGAGAAAAACAACAGGCCTGATTTCCATCTTGCACAACTCTTAAAGAGCTCTTTTTGCCTTAATTTCAGCTGCCAATCATGGTGAGCCCATTCACATGCTCCAGTCTTATTCATAATTTCATTTTGTGGTTAGACAAAACTAGCAGAATTGGACAAAGTTATCTGATTGAAAAATAATATGTTTTCTAGAGATTATAGTGACCTCTCTATTTTGCTTATTTACATACACTTTCAACTCATTTTCTTTCACAGTGGGAATCTCAGAAGCCTTTTCCAATAAAGTATACTCAGCAGCTGCTTTAAGGAAATGTTGTCAGAATAAATTAAATTTACCCAGGTGTGTGTACATGGTATTATATCCTTGTGCGTTGACTTCCAGAACACGACACCTCTGTGAGGACACGAACAGAAAGCTAACACAGGGCTTAAAATCAGGGCGGAGATTGAGAGAGTGACATGAGACCCACCCTTGTGTCATAGTAAACACATTTGCTTGAGATTGGAGTTGTGTTTCCTCAAATTCTTTTCCTCACTACTTAGGCAGTCACAATCCAGCCACTGAAACAGCCTGCTGGGCTTGCTCACATGGTACAAGTTTATAGTCACAGGACAGGATGAACAGACTTTCCTAAACCAGTGCATAAGGGATTCTAAGACAAGTGTCAATTCCCCGGCTTCTGTGAGTGGACTCAACACTATGGTGTCTTCCATCCAAACCCAGTATCTTCTTCTGGTTGCAAATGATGTGACGACTTACATTAGTCCTGATCATTTTGTTTGTCATGTGTGCAGTTTTTATGAAAGAGCAAAGCAGGTGTGACAATTTTTTTCCTAAAACAGAATACCTACTACTTAATAAAAATACGTAGACAATAAACATGAATCCCCATACACTTGTGTTGACTTAAGAAAAGATTTACTGACTAGGGTCTTTATTGCAGGAGCGAGAGAAAATATGAGGAAACAAAACATAGATAGCCCACATGAAACCCAGACTCTAGCCAGAGAATGATCAGTCAATATTAAATACAAGAGGAATGGGTGAATGTGGTAGATCAGAAGATAAGAAGTAGTATAGGGCAACAAAAAGAATTCCAAGGAAAGCTGCAAACTGCATCCATAAGAAGTGGCATGAATGGGGTTCAGTGACAAAATGACCAGACACCAAAACATGAGCATCATCCCAGAGAGTCTACAAGCCAGGGATGTCATTACTGACACACTGGAACACCATTTTCCCAGTGTTTACATGCAACCACACCATATCTACGCACTATTTATGATTGGAATCATAGCTTGCTGTTTAAAGATTTCTCTAATAGTTATGTGACATCTATATAGTTGAGAAATGACAGTACTGGTACCCACATTTAAACTCTCCATGGTTAAGGAACTGTTAATAAATTTATTTGGATGATGGATTTTTAGATGAAAGGGTATGGTCTTTCATTCTGGAAGACAGCAGGTCCTTGGTTGATGACTCTATATTATCTATCTTCAATTGTTTTTAGGTATATTTTAAGCTGTGTGATCATTTTTTCCTTCGCTCTGGCTAGAATGGGGACCGTTAAGAGCAGTGGCCAAGAAGACACAGTTAAATAATTGTATTGCCCCCCTTCTCTCAGTTTCCTCACCCACAACAGGGGATCAATAAAGCATTCCCATCTCGGAGGAAACTGGTGCAGATTATCTAATTAATGACCAACACTGAACAAAGGCTGATCATTTATTATCAGAGAAGTACAAAAATTCATCATCAGATTGTACCTTCCTGGCATCTGTTGCCTTGGTAACCAGATTTGCAGGTGCAACTACCATTTTTGGCACTGCATTCCAGGGTGTTCTCCTCCACACACTGACATTCCAAAGAACAGCCAGCTCCATACGTCCCCCTGGGACAACCTGCAAGCAGAGTGAAGCAGACTGGTCACCTGAAAACCATGCTTTGTTTATTTGAAAGTGTTAGTGCATAAGCATGACATTCTTTGGGGCCTGATTATAAGTAGAATAACGGGATCATCGTGACTGCCAAAGAAAAATGAGGCAACAAATGTCTTTCAAATCAGGCAATTCATTTGCTTTTTGGCAACTGGACATGAACAGTGAAGACTGAATTACTTAAAAGGCTGCAGTGACGCTGGGAGAGAGATTGCTTCTCAAATGTGCTCTATTGCTGCCTGGACTTAATATTCTCCAAGGACTGCTTTGGCTGCCAGGCCCCTCATCATCCTGCTGCAGCTTGGAGATGATGGACAAGCACTTATGTGAAGGTTGGCCATTGTCCTTACTCCCTCTCATTATATGGTAATCAGAAATAATTTTACATCGCACAGATTACACAAAGCTTCCATTGTGACAGTGATATTATCTTGACCACTTCTGTGGCAAGTACTGCTTGTCCTGTCTTCTTTATTTTCCCCAGGCCATTGAGTTTTAGACATGATGCAATCAGGGCTGAAATTCTAACTTGCAAACCTCCTGCCCTTGTGTTTAGGATAGCATACCACAGTTCATGCTTTCTCTCTTTTCCTCTTTCCCACTCTCTCAGCTGAGTTCTTAGAACAGCTCACTTCCCTTTCCAAAACATATCTCTTGTTTCCCAGTTATCAATCCTCCAGAGACTTCTCAAATGAAATGTGCTTTAAGGTGCTCCTGGGCTCAAAGTAATTGTTTGGTGTGCCCTGAAGGTCTTTGCTGTGGCATGATGCCTGCAGAAAATACATTGAGTTGTGTTGCTTCCCTGGGGGACCGGAAGTGACATTAGTAGAGTTCATTCTATGTGGTGGTTATGATGGCTCAAAGCAAACCCCAGTTCTGGTTGCCAGGGACAGTGTGAATAATCTTTAAAGTCAGACAATCAAGAGAGCCATGTGGACTCTTCAATAACGGCTCCAGTTCTGATAACAAGTGATCGTTTTCATGACCTCCATGTTCCATAGAGAGCATCAGACTGTGGTGGTATTGTGTTCCCCAAAATATTGTGTACCCTAATAAACTTATCTGGGGTCAGAGAACAGAAAAGCCACTAGATACTTAGGATAGAAAATGTTGGCACTCATGCCTTTAATCCTAGCATTCCAGAGGCAGAAATCCATCTGGGATCTCTGTGAGTTCAAGGCCACATTGGAAACAGCCAGGCATGGTGACACACGCCTTTAATCCCAGGGAGTGATGGTAGAAGGCAGAAAGATATATAAGGCGTGAAGACCAGGAACTAGAAGCATTTGGCCTGGTTAAGCATTTGGCTGGTTAAGCTTTCAGGCTTCTAGCAGCAGTTTAGCTGAGACCCATTCTGGATGAGGACTCAGAGGCCTCCAGTCTGAGGAAACAAGATCAGCTGAGAAGTTGGCAGGTGAGGTTAGCTGTGGCTCATTCTGTTTCTCTGATCATCCAGTGTTCACCCCAATACCTGGCTCCAGGTTTGATTTTATTAGTAAGAACTTTTAAGACTCCTGCTACATCAGACTCTCCAAGACTAGGGTCTATCTTGTTCTAGGCTATTCTGTTTATTCCAGAATATTTGCTTGGAAACAAGTTTGGATAAAAAGAAAAAGCGGAACAGATCTCTGTGGGCAATCAAGTATCAGGCATGGAGATAGAATATCCAACAGTTGTATTTTGAAGTCCTGATTCTCAGGACCTAAAATTATGACTTTACTTAGAGTACATCAAGGCTATAATGTGTTAAGATGAGGCTGTATTGGGATATGTACGTTTCTAATTCAATACACATAATGAGCTTACAGATGGAGGGATTTGTACAGAGACCTGCATGTTGTGAAAGCACCAATGAAGGGCTGTATGATGATAGAAGAAATTTCCTATGGCAGGAAGAGGCCTGAACATCATCAGAGGGACCAGAAAACCACTGACACCTTCAAACTGGGCTCCCAGCTTCCAGAAACATCAGACAATGGGTTTATGTTTTCAGGTACTCAGTTTGTGGCACTTGGTGTGGCTAGAAAAACATTGATAAATTGTAGGACTTGAGGTCCTAGGGACTAGTCAAATGACATTCATAAGTAAACCTAGAAGAACTAGGATGTGTGCACACTTCCTAAAGATTGTGTCATTCAAAATGTTAACCATTATTACCACCACCATCACCATTATCACCACCACCACTTCTACAACCACCACCACCACCATCCCCTCCATCACCACAGTTACTACCACCACCACCATCACCATCACCACCACTTGTTTGCTAGGTTTCTCTTAAGTCTTTACTCCTTACAGTTGCAAGTGAATTTAAATATGTGAGCCTGTTATTCAAATCCTAATAATGTCAATATTTGTTGCTGAAAAATGATCTTCCCAAACTTTTTGACCAGATTTATTGATTCAATTTTTGTGCTCAAACATCTGATACTATCAGATAAAATATTCAAAGGTTATTATTTCATATTGCTACAACTCAGGGCCAATAACAGAAATGATACTCTGTTTCTAGCCCTGCACTATCCTAAGCCACTGTCCTTCACACAGGGAGAAATCACGGCTGTGGGCTGTGACTTACTGAGATGACAGAATCTTCCGTAGCGCCCTAGGTCACATATGCAGGCACCATATATCCTGTGGCAATGGTCATTGTGGGCACAGTGACATTTTCTTTTGCAGTTCTTTCCAAAGAACCCTTTCAGGCATCCTGCAGGGTACAGAAAAGAAGTAAATATTAGCTCACATGCAGAAATTGCTACAACCTTTGTTTATAAAATACAAAATCTGAGAATCCACCCCATCTGAAAAGTTATAGGCAGTTGATGGGTTTGGGGAAGGAAAGTCACTCCTCTTTAGGGAGCTAGCCAATGGTAGGTTGTTCACGTCCCAGCAGAGGACCACATGCACATATGGGCAGCACTACATGTATCCATAGGAAGACATGAAGCTTGGGAGGAATGGAGGGTGAGATGTACCAGAGAGAGTTGGAGTGAAGTAGAAGGTAGATACGATCAATATGCATTGTATAAATATATGAAACTTTAAAAATAAATCTTTTTAATAGTACTTTGAAAATTTCTTACAATGTATTTTGATTATATTCACACCTTCTCTTGCTACTCTTCTCAAATCACCATACCTCCCTTATATATGCAACTTGGTATCTTCTTGCCTTTCTTTTAAACACATCAAGTCTAATTTGTGATACTCATGGATTCTTAGATATGGGATCTTCTGCTGAATTGTGGTAGACCTACTAGGGGCCACACTTTTAAAGAACAAGGATTATCCCAGAAGTTATCAATTGCCTAAAGCTCCTTAGCTAGGGGTGGGGCTTCATGACCACCTCTTTCCATGCTGGGATTATCAGAGCTTATGCAGGTCAAGTACATGCTGTCTCAATTTCTGTGAGTTCATATGCACAGTTGCCTTGCTTGTCTGAAAGACACTTTTGTTTTAGTCATCCACCATCTCTGGCTTTTAGTTATTAATATAAGATAGTTATATTAATATAATTATATAATATATTATATAATAATATATAATATATATACAAACACACACACACACACACACACACAGCTTAAGGAAGTCCAAGTGTGAGACAATAACTCAACTGGTAAAGTGCTTGTGGTATAAATGAGAGAACTTGAGTTCACCGACCAGAAGCAGATCTTTGGATGTTTGACCCAGCCTGGTCTACGTAATGAATTCTAGCCAAGTCTACATAGTGAAACCCTTTCTAAAAAACAGACCAAAACAAACACCAAGACCCCATCTAAACAAACCAAGGTGCATAGCATCCTGAGGAATGACACTGGAGGTTGACTTCTGGTGTCCACACATACCTGCACAATGTGTACCTGCAATACACACACACACATACACACACACACACACACACACACACACACACACACACACACACACACAGGCATGCACGCACACAGGGACAATGTTGTCATTCTGGTTACATGGAGAGGAACGAGTGTTTTGTTTTGGTGTTTTTGCAGATGCACACGCATGAGTCTGCATCCTCTGCTTGAAATCCTGCTGTGACTTGTCAGTGCTACAAACTAAAAGCTCTATACTATACTGCAGTGGGTAGTACAAAACGGAGCACAACTGCTGTTGAACTCTCAGAAGTGCCAACAGCCCTACCTTTAAAATGACTAACTGAAAAACCTGTCTGGGTTGGACAATGGCCTTTGACAAAATAGAAGCTACAAGCTTTAGAACAGCTGGGTCAAGAGCAGTTAAATGCTCAACACATTGAAGAATCTACCAGCCATTGGAATTCTTCTGTTTTTGTTATTAAAAAGAAAAATCTGGTAAATGGAGAATGGTAAAAGACCTAAGAACAATTAAGAAGGTAATTCAGCTAATGGGCTCTCTACAATCTAGAATTCCTTTGCCTACTTTGCTAACTAAAGGATAGCCTCTTATAGTTGTTGATCTAAAAGACTGCTTCTTCTCAATATCCTTACAAGAAAAAGCCAGAGAAAGATTTGCCTTCACTGTGCCTACTTATAATAATTCTTAGCCGGTTAAGAGATACCAATGGAGGGTTCTCCCACAGGGAATGTTAAATCACCCAACCCTGTGCCAATATTTTGTACAACAGCCATTGGAAGTAATATGTAAACAATTTCCTGAATCTATAATTACATGGATGATATTTTACTAGCTGATTCAAACACAGATAGCTTAGAAAAAAATGTTTGAAGAAGTAAAGAAAATTTTGCCTCATTGGGGATTACAAATTGCTCCTGAAAAGATACATAGAAGAGATTTTATCAATTATTTAGGATATAAGATAGGTCTACAGAAAAATAGACCCCAAAAGGAGCAAATTAGGAGTGATCAATTATGGACTCTTAATGACTTTCAAAGCTCATTCGGAGACATTTCCCACCTACAACAGTTCCCATGAACTGTTGGTGGGGTAAAAAATGATGAACTGAGTAATTTGTTCAAAACCTTAGAAGGTGACAAGGACTTAAATAGTCCAAGAGAATTATCAACTGAAGCTGAGAGAGAACTGGCTTTAGTGGAAAAGAAAATACAGGATGCACATGTGGATCGTTTGGATCCAAAGCTTGATTGCATTTTGGTTATTTTACCCTCTAAGCATTCTCCTACAGGAATTTTAATGCAGAGGGAAGATATTATATTGGAATGGATATTTATACCAAATAAACAGAGTAAAAAATTAAAAACTTATGTGAAAAAGATCTCTGACTTGATTTTAAAAGAAAAATTGAAAGTTTGTCAATTAGCAAGAACAGACTCAGCAGAAATTGTAGTATTTTTAACTAAGGATGACATTGACAAATTATAGGCAGAAAGTGAACCTTGGCAAAGAGCTTGTAGTAATTTTTGGGGAGAGATTAATAGCAAATATCCCAAAAGTGATAGAATTCAAATCATAAAGAGAGCTGATTGGATTCTACCTTCCCTTGCATTGTAAGAGAAAAACCCATATCTGGAGCCTGTATATTTTATACAGATGCAAATAATCAAGGAAAAGCAGGTTGCAAATAAGAAAATTTAAGGAAAGTCATTCAAAGTCCTTATAATTCAGTTCAAAATTGGAATTGTATGCTATTCTGTTGGTATTAATGGATTTTTTGGAACCTCTTAACATAGTTACTGATTCCCAGTATGCTGAAAGAGTGGCATTACATATTAAGACTGAAGAATTTATCCCTGATGAGTCAGAATTAACCCTGTTATTTATTCAGTTACAAAAAATAATCAGGACTAGGAAGTATCCCTTATCTAACTCACATTCGATCCCATATGGGTCTGCCAGGACCTCTAGCACAAGGTAACAATGAAATTGTTCAGTTACTAATAGGTAACATGCTGGAAGTCTCAGAATTTCATAAGAAACACCATGTAAATAGCAAAAATTTGAAGAAGGATTTCTCTATCACTTGGCAACAAGCCAAGGAAACTGTAAAAAAATGTCCTACTTGTTCCTTCTATAACCAAACTCCATTACCTGCAGGAAGCAATCCAAAAGGTATACAAAGAAATGAAATTTGACAGATGGATGCGTTTCATTTAGCAGAATTTGGAAGATTAAAGTATGTACACCATACTATTGACACCTACTCAGAATTTCAGTGGGCAACTCCTATGAGTTCTGAAAAGGCTGATTCTGTTACCTATTAGAAGTTATGGCCATCATGGGAATACCTGACAGATAATGCCCCAGCATATGTCTCCAGTAAAATGAGACACTTTTTTTTTTCTGGTTTTTTTTTTTGCCTATTACAATATAAAGCATGTTACAGGTATACCACACAATCCCACAGGCCAAGCAGTCATAGAAAGATCAACTCGAACTTTAAAGGAGATGCTAAATAAACAGCAACAGGTAACAATGACTCCTAGAAATAGATTGCATAGTACTTTATTAACCTTGCATTTTCTCAATGCTGATGAGAAAGCAAAAACAGCTGCGGAGAGACATTGGACAACAGACAAAACTTCTGAGCTAAACCAACTGGTTTATTTTAAAAATGCGTTGACCTCAGAATGGAAACCAGGATACATCCTACATTGGGGAAGGGCTTTTCTTTTGTTTCCACAGGAGAAGAAAAGCTATGGATACCAATAATTAATAAAAATTCGATTTGAACAAGAGAAACCCCTAGATGAGGAGAAGTAAAAGTTCATCCAGAGATGTGACATCTCTGCAAGTTGTAAGAAAAACTTAACAAACAAGGGTTGGGGCAGGGTTTTGTTTTTTGTCTTTATAGGATAATAGAAATACTCATCTTCCAGAAAACAGAAGGCCTTGGATATCCAAATATCTACAACAGAAGATAAGAATCTATTGGTACCAATCAACATAGGGTAAAATTTACTGCCTAACATCTGTATCTCTTTAACTCTAGAAAAGTTATGGTTCCAATTCAATTTATATATCAAGCTGGCTTTGGATTTGGAAGTCGGCTTCCTCCTTCTCTAAACCCAAGAATATTGCTAAAAGAAAAAATTTAAGACATTCTGTCTCATATCAGAAGAGCTGTCTGGTGTGGAACAGAAGGAAATCAATAAAAAGGGACCATTGTCACCAAGATTCTATTTCTCTCCATGCTTATTCTTGATTTCTCAGAATACCTTTTTATGTGTCATGTTATCTTTAAAACCCAACTTTCCACTTTGATATTAATAATGCTCAAGTTTTCCACAGTAAAAAATAAGTATTCTCCAATATCAATTTCTGAAGTCTCCAGAAGGAAGATGGGGCCCCACAACAACAACTCTACCCAGTCCAGAATGATGCCATGGTACCTAAGAACATTACTCATGATCAGCTTCAGACTGAAAACTCTTCAGGACAGTTCCAAAATGAGATGGTCCATCACACTACACTTTTAGCCAGAAAATCAGACAATCTTATCCATTTCTGAGACTAGTTGCATACTTTATGGATAGCTCTATTGAGACCTAACAATCTAAGCTCTCTTACAGCACCCCACAGAGATACCATTGCCTCCTAAACAGCAAGAAGTAACTATAAGAGAATGACACCCCTCTCCCAAATGTTTCATTTTTCTCAGGGTTATAGATGGATGGTTGTAGCATTGGAGGTTGAACCATAAAATTCAGACTCAGTATTCTTTTTTAGAAAAGAAAAAGGAGAATGGATAGGTATATGATATTAATGTAGATTATTGTATTTACTAGTCAACTAATTTAGTAAAATATCAGTCTTAGATAATTTGAACTGATAGAGATTATTGTATATTGATACAAATGCAAACTATTTTTATATTCCTATTTAAGATAAATTATATATTGATACAAATACAGAACTATATTTGTTGTAATGTACATATATTTCTACTCCTGTTTGAAATATTTTGTATCTTGATACAGATATAAAATTATATTTGTCATACTGTATGTATGTTCTGCCTCTGTTTAGGATATTTTGTATGTTGATATATGTTTAGGATTATTGTCATATTGCATATTATACTATATATACATGCCTACCTCTGTTTAAGCTATTTTGTGTATTGTTACAATCCTTAGGTCATTGTCCTTATATGATACATCTGCTTACAGACTGTTTATCGTGTTATTAGCCTTAGTCCTTAAGTTATTTTAGTAGAGAAAACTTACTGAGCTATAGTCACTCATTTATATAGCTAGGTTATTTAGGTTCTTCAGACTTACAGAACATATGTCAGATGGATAAGTAGTCTTCAAACACTTCATAGACCTAGAGAATATAGCATTTTAATATTTTGATAACTTGGAATTCTGTTGAAGTGAGACACGATTGTTCCTGAGAGAATGTTGGGCTTCTGAGACATTTCCATTCGGAAGTTTGTCTTCTTCTTGGCATACACACACACACACACACACACACACACACACACACACACACACAAAATGGCCTATTGGGCAAAGAAATGCCCTTGCCTCAACTTTTGACAGTACAAATACTGTCCCTTTGGTACAAGCAAGACACAAGGAAAAGTGACTCTTGAACTCTGCCAAGACAGTGTAGGATAGTCTTTCAAAAAACCTGCTTCTGAGAATGGTTCAACAGATACTCTAGGTCTGTATCCAATTTGAATGCAACAATGATACTGAGAACATCTAGGTGACTGTCCAGGCTGCCAGCTGTCTCTGTCTACTCTTGCAAGACTCCCGAAAGTTGCTTGTGTCCTTCTCCTGTTTTTCAGGTATTATTATATTCCTTCTTGGGTCTTTGATGGGATTGGAGACTAACAGTTATAATTACAATCTTCTTGTATCTTAGCTAGAACTTATTAAGTATTAGATTCAGGTTCTTCAAGGTAGGACATCTTTTGGAAGGATTTCTGTAATGTGCCATTTACCTATGTTCCAGACTCCTCTGGATTTCAGTATGTGTTTCTTGTTTGGTGCTGTTCTTGTTGGTATAGTTTCATCTTGTCTAGGTCATTATCCCTTATTCCTCCGGGACAATATTTGGTAATCATCCCTATTGTAAATAATTTTTTATTAGGTTAGAATTGTCTTATTTAGACAAAAGGGGGAGATGTAGTGGGTAGCTGTTTCAGCTTTGACCTTGAAACACTGCCCCTAGAGTGACAGCAGATAACTACCACACCTGCCTATGACCTACCCCTGGAGCATGACTGAGAGGGAGCCCCTTAAGACTCGAGGTGTGTATGTGCTGAGCCCTTCTGAATACCTTGTGGTTCTGGAAGCTGGATAGGAGACCAAGCCAGAGTTCTCTGCTAGATGGTACTTCATCTCTCCCGATCCTGTAACCAACCCCTATTGGCTGTAAGTTACCCCAGAAATAAACCTCCTTGATTACCCGATAAATTATGTGCAATTGCCTCATTAATTACAGTTATACTATACTGCAGCCACTACACCAGCAGAATTCCTGCTGCACCACTAGCTCTGCACATGTCTTTGCTGCTATCTCCGAGGTCCTTAACACACCAAATACCTTCCCACCTTGCTCAGGAATGCCCTTTCCTCATGCAGCTTCACCTCATCTCTCTTGTTGACTTCTCTGTAAGTCTCTCTCAGTCAAAATCTGAATCTTACTATGGTCTTACTTCCAACCATGCATCAGTATTTAATTTGCAATACCTATTAACCTTTATAATCTATGTTTGTCAAACCAGGTCACAACTTTCATAGGGCAAGACCAGGGTTTTTTTGTGTGTGTGTGTGGTTTGTTTGTTTGTTTTGTTTTGTTTTTTTCTTCTGTACCGGGGTTGTCATTCCTGGTAGACCTCATTGCAACCATTTAGTGTATTTTTTAAAAGATAAACAAATATTTCTCAGGGTGATAAGAATTTGGATGGCTATCAGGAGCCTTCCTATACTCCAGAATGGAAAGCAAATTTGATTTCCATGTTCCCATGGACTGTGGGAACCTAATGAACTTCCCAATGGATTCTAGCAAACTCTGGGTAATACCATGTTAATTACCTTTCTGCCTTCAGCAACTGAGCTCTGTCAAACCAGTGGAGGAAATGTGGCCTTTACATTGGTTCCTATGAAGAATCTAGGCACGGTTATCGCTGGCATTTTGTGAACCGTAATTTCTCTTCTCCCATTCTCTCTTCCCCTCTCTTGCTCTCTGATTTCATCTCCCTCCTACTTTTGCCACATGGGCCTTACTCTTCTCTTTTTTTTTTCTCAGAAAGAATAAGCTCTTCCCAGGTCCTTCTTCTGGATCTACATCCACAAACCCAACTTTTTCTTGAGAAGAAAACAAAATTCTTTTCTCATATCAGGCTTTATCCTGGCTTGCACCACAGCTACCCAAGTATCTTTGTTACTGTTCTATTGCTATGAAGAGACACCATGACCATAGCAACTTATAAAAAAAGACATTTAACTGGGGGCTTGCTTACAGTTTCAGAGGTTAAGTTCATGATCATCATGGAGGGGAGTAGGGTGATAGTCAGCAGACAAGGTGCTGTAGCAGTAACTGAAAGCTTACATCTTATCCTCTAGATGAAGGCAGAGAGAGAGAGTGATACTGGACCTAGCATGGACTTTTGAAACCTCAAAACCCACCCCCAGTGACATATCTCCTCCAACAAGTCACACCTTCTACTCCTTCCTAAATAGTTCATCAACTAGGGAGCAAGCATTTGAATACCTAAGCCTATGAGGTTCATTCTCTTTCAAACAACCACATTAATGGTCTCTGATTTTGTTCTGTTATGCTTGCCATGGCCAAAGCAACTATATTCTTGTCCATATAGACACAGTCTTTGAAGTCTTCATTTCTGTCAAACCCCTACCCCACCCCCATGCCCAAATTAACAGTGGCTCATCTTACTGACCGGGCATTCTTACCTTCTTCACAAATTTTCCCATAGACCCCTGGGGGGCATTGGCACTGTCCAGTCTGAGGGTCACAGGTGCCTCCGTTCTGACAATTGCAGATGCCCCTGCACTCCCTTCTTTTGGCATCCTCAGAACAAGCTGTGAGTAAATTAAGAAAGGTGAGTGTGTAAAAGAACACCCTGCCCATCACAATGGAAGCCAGAAGGAGAGATCGGAGGAGACGTGGTCTTTCTATTAGGATGGCTACCACGTCATTAAAATTCTTAGTACCTTGCAGACCCAGGGTGAAACTCTGGTCTAGTACTAGTTTCTATGATTTAATCACCCCAGGGGAATTCCAGAGGATACATCTGGTTAGAAAAATAATGACTTAAGGAGACGCTAACAAGGTTCAAATGCAAAACTGACCTTACTCCTTAAACTCTAACCCTTCTGGTTTCAACACTACCCAGACACATTTGCTGAAGAACTGTAACCAACTTTAATGAGAAACAAACTGTATCTTTTACTCTGAAAAATGTGGAGAAAACTCAGAGGGAAAAAATGTCATATTTTAAAACCATCAATGAATGCAGCTAAGAGTTCTCTTGGGGGCTCCCAAGGTGTTTTACATTCTCAGATTTTGATGAAATTAAGCAAATAACAATATTCTCTGGTGTGTTCATTTTTTCAGAAGTACCAACTATCCAGAAATGTAGGCTGAGGAAATTGTGACTCTCTTTAATGTGGATACACATAACTCTTGAGATAATTGTATTAGCTATTTTTGTGGATATTTTACCATAAGTTTTATTCTAAAGCTATATTTAGGATGTCACCTCCTACTGGCTTCATATTCCTCTTTTATTTTCTTGATGTGCTTATTGATCTTTCTTTCCCTCCTTCTCTTCCTTCCTTCTCTTTTTCATTGAGACAAGGTCTAATGTACTTAAGATTGCCCTTGAACTCACAATGACTTTAAACTTCTAATCCCCCTTCCTCTACCTCTTACATCCTGGGATTACAGATATGCTCCAAAATTTTTGGTTTATGCAATGTTAGTATTGGAACTCACAGCCTTGTGAGTGTTAGGTAAATGCATTACCAACTGGGCTTACCCATTTTTTTTTTCTTAATTGCAAGCCATAGACTGCCGTAAAAGAGTGAGTAGGAGGGAAAGAGGGAAATACAAGTTAAAAAAGAGAAAAAAATTTCCAAATTCTATAGAAGGGACAGTTTTAAAAAATGAAGATAAAGAATCCTTAGTGGCTTACATAGTAGCTGGGCTATGATATATTATTTACATAGCTGATAAATCAGGTTCTCTGGCCCCATCCCACAAAGTAGAATATAATAAATAAAGGATTTTTAAGATAAATTATTAGCAAAATGTAGAATAAAGATCTTAGAGGAGAAACTGTTAGCAGGAGCATGTCCTAATCTGGAGCCAGAGGACTTGGAAGGCATCACAAGCTTTCTGTCCATGGAGTAATCCATGCCTATGAGAGTTACTCTTCTCTTTCCCCTAGATAATCAATGTTCACTGATTTCAGCATTTCAACTGATTTCTCTAAATGAGATGTGGTTCTGTGTAGGGGACCAGCCCACACATTTATTTATCCTAGGGACTCTTGAGGAATGAGGAATAAGAGACTTAGGTAGAAATGAAGAGGGGAGAGAAACAAAGAGAAAACACAGGATAGCCTCAGGTGGGCCTGGATCCTTATCCACCGGCCCAGAGCTTTATTCCAAAGGGCTATTTATAACAATGCCAAGGGGTGGAGCAAAAGACCCTTGCTAGTTATAGTCAACTGTAGACGCTCACAAACACCTGGCACCCAGGCCTGTGGTCCAATCATCCTCTTAAGCAGTCCTGCTGGGTACAGCCACTAGGAAACCTAGTGGGCTCCAACAGTTCTGAAAAACCCTGATATTAAAATTGAGTAATACACACTGATACTTAAATCATTTGTTGATTTAACTGAACAAGTTCCTGAGAAGTCTAAGTAGATATTTTCATAGTAGACCAAAGAAGATACTGAGATAGTCATCTACAAAGTGGGGGAGGGTTAGAGTTAGGGTTAGGGTCATCTCAGTTGGGAGCCCCATTTTTCTGATTTCTACTCAATTTTATTTTTAATTTCCTGGGGTGCATTTAAAACGCCAATAATTTTTAAAATAAGTAATCTATATGGATTTTAAAGAATATCCCCACTCCCTTTTGATTAAGGAATCAGTTGAAACCTTGGGTTGATTTGGATTGTTCTGTCTTCCTTCTTAGCCTCTGCTTTCTGAAAGGCTCTGTGAATACTCAGGGCATCTGCAAAGTTTTCCAGGTATGAAGACATGGACATTTTGTCCCTATATTTCCTGGCTCACTTTAATCTCTCAATGTGAGATTCGTATCAGCAACGCTTTCCTCTGATGCTTCAGAAGTGGATTATCTAGTTTTATTTCCCATGCTACCACATCAAGGACCACGTGTTCAAACCACACAGGAATATCAATGGGCTTGTATGGTAAATCTCTATATTGTAATAGTCATATGATGACATTATATACATTTTATATTATGGAGTATGTGATCTTATGGGTCAATATAATTGAGAGTCTCCACCAACATTTGTTCTGTCTGTACTGATGTGGTTGGCACTCCCATGTAGAGTAACTCACAATAAATAAGACTTAATTGTACCTGACCAAGGAGTACACTCTCCAAGAAAGAATGTCAATACAGTAAGATAGAGTGCTTCACATCTACTAGAAAGACCAAGGCTTGCAGAGGCCATCACGTGAAGGTTTACATGACAGGCAGAAATAGATCTTCAGAGTTCCTAGTGGAACAACAGCCACAGAACTAAGAAAATGCAGAAAATGAAGTAGCCAGTGATTTAACTTCCTACAAATAGCCAATTGGCAAAGACTATGATAAAGACTAAAAAAATATAAGAGGATTTTATAGTAACCTCATTCTGGAAGGTTCCCAGTGACTAGGTATATATTACGTACAGACAGTGAGCTGCTTCAAAGGGTCAGAGCAGCAGAGAACATGATCACAGGGACTCATGGGGAACAGCCTGCTCACCTGAATGAGTCATGCTAACCAAAAGATGTCACTGTGTCGGGACCTGGGTCCTATGCCTGTGACATGCAGTAGAACATATCTCTGCTCTTTTTTCCTTGCATGCATGCATGGAGCTAAAAGGAAAAATCTGCTCAGCCATCTTCCAGATAACCATGAAGACACATATTTTTAAGTATATGAGAAAGTTAAAAAGAGGAAAAAAAACCCTCAATGTATTTTATCACATGGAAGTTTTAACTCCTAAAAGCTGTCTTCATTTAAAACACAAATGAAATGATATTTGGATGGTATCATATTTAAATTTTTGATAGTTTCTCTTGAGAGATTTATATAAAAAGATGAAACTATCACCATTGGCTATGTTAATATGATTTTCAAAAGGGGGAAGAGAGGTAAAAAACAGAAGCAAGCCCAGCTAAACAATTTCATTTTTGAAAATTTTGAGCAAATTCACTGTACTTTGTAACACAAACCTTCCTTCTTTTTCCATTGGGAATAGCTGGCCATGTGCTGGTGATTTATTTGAGCACAGGGTTTTTATCAGACTGACCTTATTAGGAACGTTTATTAATTTGCTTTGTGGGTTAGCAGGATTTGGAGTATTACCTTCCCCTGAGAATATGAAATCTTTCCTTTCTGTCATATATTCAATTTACAGATGCCAGCATTCACCATCATTCATTATTTACAACAAATATATTGCTGTCTCTCAGTAGACAGTTAATCAGTATATTGTAGGGTGCTTTTTTTGAGGAGAACTCACCCAAAGGAGCTTGTTGGTTCACACCAGTTCTTAAGGTGTTGCTTTCATTGCAAAGAATGCCGGTCCAGCCTTCTGGGCAGAAGCACCCACTTTTTCCTTCGTGACACCTCCCTCCATTCATGCAATCCTCACAGCTCAAGCTGCAGTCCAGGCCAAAGGTGCCATCTAAACAGACTGTCATGGGAAACCAACTTAGTTGGCTCCTAACTACACATGTAACTAAAAATAAAGCAAAATTCTTAATTCCCCAAAGAAATCAGATCAGGTATCTTTCCCAAGAAAATTTGGAAGAGGACTTTAGCAAAGAGATAGTTTGCAACACAGAGTAGATTTTATTTTGGTCAGTTATAATACTAGATTATTGTCCCTTCCATAAAGGGCAATAGGGGAGAAACATAAACCAGGCCTATGCCTGATTCTAGAGCACAGAAGGGACAGATAGTCCAGGATTGTTATTCTTTCCTTTCTAGACTTTTCTATGGATATATTTTAAAGTAAATTCATATTGAAGCTTAACTATCATGTGTAAAGGTGCACATATCTCAAATACACCTGCCAGAGGCCCACAAACCCAGATCGGGGTATTGCACATTACCTGTCACCTAAAATGTCAATGCTATTAGTCTCATAAATAAAACACTACCATAATTTCTGACACCACACATTTCTTCTGAACTTTTCATAAATAGAATTGTAAAGTAAGCACATTTGTAGTCATGTTTCTGCTGTGGGATGTCTTTCTATATGTTGTGAATATGTGTTGCTCTGATTGGTTGATAAATAAAGCTGTATTGGCCTATGGCAAGGCAGCTTACAGGCAGGCAGGAAATCTAAGCAGTAGGCAAGAAGGAAGAAAGGCAGAGGTAAGAGAAACATCAGCCTGCTGCCCATTGGAACAACATGCCAGCAGACCACTGTTAAGCCATGGAACATGTGGCAAAACATAGATTAATAGAAATGGGTTAATTTAAGATATAAGAGCTAGCTAGCAAGAGGCCTGCCATAGGCCATACAGTTTGTAAATAATATTAAGCTTCTGAGTGATTATTTTATAAGGAGCTGTGGGACCGTGGGGCTGGGTGAGACCAGAGAAACCTTACAGCTACAGGTTTCGTCACCATAATGTTTGTAGTATTCTTCTACACTCTGTGTGCACAAATATCTTTTATGTGTGTATAGTATTCTATTTCTTACTGAAATGCAATATATTTGCTTCTTCATTCTCTTCTTGATGGATATTATCCTGCTATGAGAAAGCATAGAGGTATTCGTTTACTCAGTTGTTTACACATGGGTTCATGTTTTGTCCTCATCTTGGTGTGGGGGAGATGGGTAGATGTGGGGCCTTGCTACTCTGTACAGAGTTGATTTCCACTTTGTGCTTGTTCATCACAACTGCGCTGCTCAGCACTGCACCTACCTCATTTTCTTAGCAGCTGTCTGTAGGACTGCATGGCACATCTCATGATTGGCAAATGATTGAAGAGAAGACAGCAGAGATGTAACTAGATTTCTCTCTTTCCAAACCTTGGTCAAACGATTTCACCTGGTCTATGTTTGTTGGTCTCAACTACATTTATTCTGATTTTGAATAGCCAAAGCAGCAGAAATTTAATAAAGAAACATTTAAATATTCTTCCTTTATGCAGAAGCATTTATAGATAGTCTTATAAATTAATTATAATACAAGTATATTACTGCTAGTTTTGCTTTATTTTTATTTGTTTATTTATTTAGGTGCATGTGTATATATGTATGCATATGCCATGGCACATGTGGTGAGGTGAGGAGATAACTATTGGGAGTGGGTTACCTTTTTCCACCATGTGGGTCCTAGATATTGAACTCAGGTCATTCATAGTAGCGAGTCCCTTACTCACTGAACCATCAACATACTTCTTCACCCCATACTCCCATTTCTACAAATACCTTCATATTATCCCTTTATTGTATAAAAAATGGAAGTCAAGAGATGATAAATTTATAGTAAAGGTTTTGGTCCCATATTTCTGCTAGATCTCCTCTCTCAACATTTGAAATTACTTGGACAATGTGCCTGAGTTATCTAATGATGAGGATAGATTAACAATGAAATCATTCCTTCACTCACCCACTCTGTGCAAGGTGTGCAAGGCTGTCAGCTGTTGGGACTCTTCTTCTCCTTCCTGGTCTTCTTCATTATTGTCTTCATCTTCATATGAAGCAATCAGAGAGGGATCAAGATAAGGTAACGGCTGAGGTGGGTTTTGAACCAGATGGCCTGGAAACCTCAGGATGTCCAGCACCTCTTCTTCCTCCTCTAGCTGTTCATCATCTAAAGCTCAGACCAGAGGGGAAGAGACTGGCTTTCAACACTGTAGACAGAAGGAGGAAAAAGCAACCAAGCATTGACAGATAGTGAGAGTCTGAACTAGACAGCCAAGCAGGGATGAGTGATGGGCAAAGAGCTCTGAGCAGGCTCTTCAGAGACCCATGGTACCAGCAGCCAGATGCTGCCTGCATGGGCTGCATTACAGTAGACAGAGTACAAAGGAAATAAAGTAAAGCTAGAAAGAAAAAGGGAGGAGGAGGAAGAGGAAGAAAAAAGAGGATGGAGGGAATCAGGACAGAGGGAAGGAATGAGAAAGAAGGAAAGAGAAGAGCGAAGGAAGAGAGAAAGAGAGGGAGAGAAGGACAGAAGGTAGACAGAAAGACAGAGACCTAAAGGAGGGAGGCAGTGAGGGTTGTGAGGTTTCCCTCGCCAGCACCCTGAAGAAGAGGAAATGAAAGAAATTTAGGAGACCCAGCACAATCCCTTGGCTACTGACCGAGACAGGTTCTTCCATCACTTCCGATTCTGTAGCCTTCTTCACAGGCACAGTCATATGTCCCCACGGAGTTGATGCACAGCTGGTCACAGTCCACACTGACATCCAGGCACTCATCTACATCTAGGGAGAGTAGAGTTAACCAGCATCTGCCCTTTGAGGCACTATGTGACCTTCATTAACCAGCAGCAGCATCCTGCCACACAGAAAGCAAGTATACCCCTCAATATCAGGTATACCTAGTGACAGGCTTTCATGCATTTGCAAGATTACTGAAGACTAGCCACATAAACCAGGGATTTCTGATGCCTTCTTCGTGTAGCTTGAGTGAAGAACAGAAAACTTAAATTCAATGAATCCAAGCTGTGCCTTATTCTGCAGAAATGTACTAACTTCTCAGCTTAAGGATGTGAGTGGATACTGGTTTTTTTTTGTATAATTCCATGCAGAGTCTATAGAGAACTTTTGGCACAGAAGAGTACTAACTCTCATGTAACTACCAGATTTATGACTGAGTCTGACTTTATATTCAGTCAGTGTGTTAGATACACTGAAAGTCCCAGACTGAAGCCACACTCCAGCTTCACCTCAGATGGTGCACACCTTACCCCTGTGTATATGCGCAAGTGTGTGCATTTGTGCCATGCAATCATATCTTGGCTCACACCTCTTAGGAGCAGATGGTGCATAAAATGCAGCTTTTGTTGGCTCTGTTAATTGGATGGAAATGATAAATGGTAATATACTCCACTGTGTATATAGATAGCACAGTGTGTTTTTCTTTGATCTATACTGAAGGCTGGCTTGTAGTAGTTTAAAGCCTGGCTACCATCAGAATTCAGGATCAGTTTCTGTAAGCAATGAAACTCTACTTTCTCTGTGACATTAATGTCATATATTTGACTTGATACTGGAGTAGATAGTAATATTATGGCCTCTGTACAGATTTCAAGAAAGTATGTTTTTAATAATAATAATAATAATAATAATTACAAAGTGAAAAAATCAATTATATATTTAAGATAATTTTGTTTTTAATTATTTTTAAACATACAAAGCAATTGATTATACTATAGCATGTTTATACATATATGCCATTCAATTTTATTCTCATTCTTATCTTCCCTCCTTGCCCTACCCTATCCTTTGTCCTTATTTTTAATCCCTTCCTCCCCTATAGTCTGCCCTTCTTCTTTTATGTCACTTGTATCCTGTAACACTCTCTAGCCCCTCCCACTTACCATCTCTCCTGTATTCCATCACACTCTCTAGCCCCTCCCACTTACCATCTCTCCTGTATCCCATCACACTGTCTAACCCCTCCCACGTATCATCTCTCCCTTCCCTTTTCTGTCTCTTTACTACTTTCATGGCACAAACAGATTTAAATTTTGATTATGCATATGAAAGAAAATGTAGTAATTGTCTTTTTGGATATGCTTTATTTTGCTTAATATAACTGACCCCTCATTCTATACATTTTTCTGAAAATTGCCTGATTTTATCTTTCTTGGGAAGGATAAAATTCTGTTGATGTATGTACCACATTTTCTGCCATTCTTCTGCTGATGGAAATCTAGGCTGGTTCTGTGTCTTGGTTATTGTGAGTACTGCAGCAATAATGATGGATGTGAAATATTGTGTGGCATGTTGACCTCACCCTTCCATTCTATACAGAGGAGTGGGGGCTCCTGTATATGGTAGTTCTTTCATATTTCTTGTCTTGAAAATGATTTTCAACAACCAACTCTGTAATTGTAGCCCAGCATGGTAGAGAAGATTCCGTCAGCAGTGTGTTACTCACTCCGAATCTCTCCTCTGTATACATACATGTGAAAAGCACATGGACCAATGAACATCATACTAATCAGAGCTGCCTTTAGTGGAGTGCTTATCTAAGCCAAACATCAGGCTAGTACTTAATTTACTTCCTAAACCTCTTGCTATCTTCATTTCATTAATGAAGATCTTAGGTTCTTCAATGTTAGGGCCACCAAAGTACATATGCTGTCACATGGCACAAACTCACAGAATTCCACATTTCCTTAATTTGGAAGACACCCACTTCCCAGCTCCTGCCCCCTGAATGCACATCACATCAGTCTTTCCATGAGAGCTCAGGAATTTACCATCACATCCACAACCATCCAAACTGATCTGAAAGCCTTCCTGACAGCTGCACACGTAGCCTCCTGAATAGTTGATGCAGAGCTGAGCACAGCAGGCATCTCCGCTCTCGCATTCATCAAAGTCTGAAGGGCAAAGGACATTTGTGTTACTCCAGGAAGCAGAATTCAACAAAACTGCAGAAGCTCTGAGAGGCCTCATTTCTAAATTACAACTGATTAACTGTTTCCCACCTCTCAGGCCACATAGTACAGACACTGAAGAAACTATTACACAAAATAATGACACCTACTTTCTTGCGCATTCCTTTCATGCCTATTACTTAATTTAAATGAATGTAAATAATCTTTAAATGCATTTATAAGCATAGGAAAAGAGATCTCTGTTTTTTTTTCCAGTTTAAAAAGCAATCTGACCGAATAAACAGAACTTGAGGAAGAAAAAGACAGAATTGAGAGCGAAGATCCAAAGAATTCCATTTAATAACAGTTGACAGCTGCAGAAAGGACAGCCCCAGACTTCATGAGGTGCATCTTCCTCAAGACCTTAGATCAAAGAGTGTTCCCAAGTAAACATTCCCCTCCCACTCAACCAGGGAGAGGAGTGAGCACTGCATGTCTGTGAGAAGGAGGAGGCACTTCCTTCAAATATTGTGTATTGAATTACGGAGTATTTCAGAGTGTTTGCTCAAACATGCTGAGGATGCATTGAATGGGGGTTTGGTACAGCTGTGACATCATTCCCCTGGAATGTCTTGCCAGGTGAGCTGTCCTGTATATAGCACTATCATTCGAGAATTCTACAATCCTGAATGCTTGTTCTTAAGACTCAGCTGGCCTGGGGAAAATCAAAAAGCTCCAGTAGTTGTCAATGAAACCATTCAGCCAAACAGCAATCTAGTTGGCCTGAGTTTTAAAGGGTCATTCTGAGCATAAGAGTGGAAGGGTACAGGAGACACTCACTCTGCTTCCCTCTGCTCTGGGCCTCCTGGCATTACATGATGAAGGTTTGGCTTTTAGCCCCTGGCTCAGTTCTAGCCTCTATGTGTTGAGCAGTTAGATTGGGTGGCTGTCACTGCTAAGTTTACAGAATCCTATTGCTCCAGGACTATATGAGCGACCACAGGTACCAAGAGGTCAATGTCTCAATTAACCTTGGAAGGGTCAGTAGACTCACAGAAATGAAGACAAGAGACAGGAAGGAAAGGAAATGCAATCAGCCAGTCAAGGTGAGGGGTCACCATAAACTATCTAAATGAAGGTCATTTGGGCACAATGCATCCTTTCTCCTGCAAAATGTCACAAGGTGCTCCACTCAGAAGATTACAGATATTAGTTTTTGTCATATTAAGCCTGTCTCTGACCTTTAGATTAAACAAGGTGAACACAGAAGATAAAAAACAAAAGATAAAACATTTTTTTATTTCATTTAAAACAGTAGTCTTTGTGTGTGTGTGTGTGTTTTTTTAAAATTTTAGATATTTTTCTTTTCTTTTTGGTTAAAAAAAAAGCCTTCTTACCAACAGGGCCTCACAGGTCTCAGCGAGCAAGGGGCTAGATGCATCACATAATCTGAAAATATTTCCCTTGTTCTGATAGTTATTCTATGTTATAATATAATATATAAAAGGCAGATTATTTTGCCATTTTCATTCCTCCAGGGAAATTTCTTACCTTGCACACTGACTTCAGTTCAAAAGCTCAACAGAAACTTACCTTTTCTATGGTATAATTTACATGTGTGTGTGTGTGTGTGTGTGTGTGTGTGTGTGTGTGTGTGTGTGTAGTGCCCATGTATCATGGGTCTTCCTCAATGCTCTCTCCACTTTATGTTTTGAGAAACTGTCTCTTAGTCACTGGGTCAGCTGGTCAAGGGTATTCTCTTGTCTCCATCTCCAAGTTCTGGGATTACAGGTCCAGCCTTTTATGTAGATACTAGGGACCAGGATTCAGGTTTTCACACTTATAGACTTCACAGGGTTAGCCCTCATTCACGTCTTTTCTAGAAAACACTGTCACTTAAACCTTTATACCAGCTGCTTTCTATATTTCTTTATTTCTTTTCACAGCCTTAATGAAATCGTTTGCTTGTCTATGTTCCTCTTTTATTCACACTTTACGGCTTTTGGCTGCTGTGCAGAACACAACACAACTACAGAGAGAGAATGCACCACTCACCTGAACAGAAAAATCTAACTCCCCAAACTGGAAGACTCAAGGTACTGAGGTGAAATTCCTAAACACTCAGCTCTGAAAAGCATGAGAGCGAAAAACTCCAGCCTCTGTTCAGTCGCTGAAGAAAACTTACAGATCCTTCCTAGTGTCTAGCTGTTTGATTAACTTGGAATTCCTCCCTGGGATCAGACAACTGTCATTCCAAAGACATTTTACCCTTTCTCTAGGTTTCAGCACGAGGCTTCCGCCCTTCGGAGAGGCTGACCACTCGCCTGCTAGCTGGATTGTTTGCATCTTTTCTTGTACATTCCCACCTTTAGAAAATACCTCATAGTAACTAACATATGATAGAACTCATGGCTGGTTTTACAAAGCAACAGGCAACAAGAAGGGTGATCTCATGGTCTAAGTAAGTCATGACTTTTGCCCTAGTGAAATCTAGTCTTCAGAAATAAGCATTTTTATTATTGAAAAAATGAAACAAAATGAACCATAAGCAGTGTAACATTGCCTTGTTGACTGCTGAGATCTTATCAATATGCAATTTTCTGCATTCTGACCTTAGCAGCTGCTATATTTTTTCTAGCTGTAAATAAAAAAGGTTTCCTGAGTTGTACTTTTCAAAGACTAAAGACATCAAGGTTTAAAAGAATATAAGAATAAATACATTTATAAAATTATAAAGAAAAGATATAACTTTTCAGTTTTCTTTTTATTTAGTACTCATGAAAAGTAAAATGAGGAGGGAAAAGAAAGAAGGAAGAAAGGAGAGAGAGAGGAAGAGAACCATTCATTTCTTTTATAAATTTAAGTGTTAATGAGACAGAAGATGTAGCAAACTTTTCATTGCAAGAGACACGAGGAAAACAGTTGGTTCTGATATGCTGGGCGCCGCAGACTCCTAGCAGTGTGGAAGGCACTACTGGATCAAGACGCGTATGCAATGGCTTCGTTTGGGCTTCAATAGTTTTGCAAGGTCAGAATACTTAAATTCCGTGAGATCATTCTCTCATAAAGTACAAAAGCAAATGACCAAACCCAGTGCTTACATCACTTCTCCATTATTGCTTTAGACTGTCTCCCACCACACCGAAGAGCGTGCAGAGAAAGTGAGGTTTTCTAGCACCCATATTATCGCTTTAAAGAGAGAAAACACATGTCATCAAGAGAAAAGTGCAGTGTTTCTATTTTAGAATGAAGACACCACTATCTGGGGGCTTGGAATGTTTCAGAAGCAGAGCACAGTAGTGCCACTTCGTACTGGCTCCCTTGCTTAGCGGAGAAACACTGGGAGATTTCATTCAGCATTCCTTTATGAGGGAAGGCTGAGTTGGGATATTTTTCTCATTGTTGAAAAGGTTAGAAATGATAACCATTACAAATAATAAATGAATGAAACTAATGATGGAAATTCTAGTAATATGTTCTTAAAGCCATCCATCAAAACTGGGTTTAGAGCTGAAGAAATGCCTCCGTGGTTAAGAAGATGTATTGCTCTTGCAGTGGACCCAAGTTATCTTCATATTACCCATATCAGGCAGCTTACAGTCACTAGAAACTCTCAGTCCAGGAGATATGAATCCCTCTTCTGGACTTAGTGGCCACCAGGACTCACATGTATACCTACTCATGCATAAGCACACAAATAAGACATAATTAAAAATGCATTTGACCTGGGATGTCCAAAGAATGATTATCTTTTAAACTTTTCTTTTGTTAAAAGCTGCCATAGGACAGTTGAACATTCATCTAATTCATTACCAAACTGAAAACCAAGGAACTGGTTTCATTTCTGCTTGAGGTAGGAAGACTTGGGACCCACAGTTGTATCTATTGTAAACATATAAATTTAGTAGGTTAGATAGACCTTAGGATATTTTCCTGAAACAAAACAATAATTTTTATTCACATGGAGTTAATAGCCCATATATCTCATTAAACAAATTTCAATCTCCTTAATTTCAAGGTAAATATCCAAGTATTATGATGTCTTTGCTATGTATCAGTGGTCAGAGGCACAGTTTACTGCAGCTCTCTTCATTCTGAGGGTTGTGGCTCAGACTGTAGCAATGTGTATTAACATGTAAGTGCTGAATGAGCCCGAGAAACTCTGAATGAAGATAGCATTTACAAACATTACCTATGCATGTCTTCTCATCTGTGTCGAGCTGATGTCCATGGTCACAGGAACAATGGGGTCCACCAATTGCAGGTTCACAGTGATGAGAACAACCCCCATTGTTCTTTTCACAGATATTTACAATTTCTAATTCAATTCCTTTCCAAAACAAGCAAAAGAGGGTTATTAGCATAACAATAGAGAAAATGGAATATATGTTAACAATGCACATGCTTTCTCTTTTGAGAGGATGACACACTCTATTGGAAATACATCACCACTTTACAGATAGAAAAGTAAAATTCTAAGGCATAGCATGAGCATTATACATGCCTAAACTGTATTGAACTACTAAGTGATGAGAAGAAATGATAAGTCAGGTAATAAAAGGAGAAGAAAGGCAATAATGAGCCCATCAGTGGTTACTAAATACTTTAAAAAACATTTTTACTTTAGGGGATCTAAAGTGTGTGTGTGTGTGTGTGTGTGTGTGTGTGTGTGTGTGTGTATTTAAAACCAATGATTGTTCTTTTCAGTGCCCGTGGGTTCATAAAACTACTGTTAAGAGTAACTTGGGGCTTAAGTGATACTGAACCAATGTACTGGCTGATCATCTGTAAGTTGCATCTCGAGAGAGTGCTAACCAGCTTTGATGCATATAAAACACACTTATCATATTAGCATACTGTTAATTTGGAAACATGTCACCATCCCTGGCATATGCTAGTAATTTGGACATATTGGTGAACATCAGACTCAGCATATGAATGTTGACTGGCCTGAGCATGCAGACGTTGTAGCCTCTGATTTTATAAATTAAGACACAAGAAGTAATAGAATACTTGACTCGGGGTTTAAAGTATAAAATGTCAAGGCTCTGGCCACTGTTTTGTTTTTTTTTTAATCATTTCTGTAACTCTTTGTGTGGGCACTCTGATCTCATTGACTGTGCCCATATCAGCTTCTTTCCTTTGGTCTTTTTTTTATGAGAAATAAAAATTTATTTTTCAATAAATGATCCATCATCCAGTGTCAAGCATTGTCATTAAGCTTCCAACATTTTTGACATTACAGATTATTAATTATTGCTCATATTTTATCAACTATATCTTATATTTTTACTACTATGCACTTAAACCAAGACCATGTCAACTTTTTGTTCTCATATATGCCCATTTTGTTCATTTTTCCCATTTATTTATTTATTTATTTTAATTTTATAATTTAATTTAATTTTACATATCAGCCACAGATTCCCTTGTTCTCCCCCCTCCCCCCCCCCCTCACCTTTCCCCCAGCCCACCCCACATTCCCATCTCCTTCAGGGCAAAGACTCCCGTAGGGATTGATGATCCTTTGGTCTTAATGCCCGAGTCCTTTGGAAGAAGAACATGAAAGAGAACAGGATAAATGTACCTGGGACTGTGGCACTCCTTGGGAGCACGTTTCATCCTTGACACTGGGTGGGGTCCCTGTAGTCTCCAAGAGTGTGCTCAACCACACAGCCTCCTGCTGCAGCACACAGCAGCCTGTATGTCCCCAAGCTGCACTCCAGGTCCCTGTCACTCTCACCTCACTGTGCCTTGTTTGCTTTAGCAGCTCACAGCAAATATTCAAAATTACATTCCCAAAGACTGGTGAAATAAATGGAGATTATGCTAATCAATTGACTGTTGAAAGAAGAGATCTCTCTCTGGGCTGAAGACTGAGAAAACCAGAATGCATAAAGGACTGAAGGGCAAAGTGTTTTTTATGCATATGAACACATGACACAGACCTGAAGTGCTTTTCATGTTTGTCCCTGTCAGCCATGTAAAGAGGTATTTAAACCATCGTTGTTATCTTCTAATCCATCAGGACAATCCCCATTAGTTTCCAGATGGTAGGATCCAGAGGGGTCAAGGACACCACAAGAAAACCCACAGAATCAACTAAGCTGAGTTCATGGGGGCTCACAGAGAATGAATCAACAACCAGGGAGCATGCATGGGACTGACCTAGGCCCTCTGTATATATGTGACAGTTGTGTAGCTTGGTCCTCTTGTGGGACTCCTAACAGTGGGAGCAGGGGCTGTCTCTGACTCTTTTACTGGCTTTTGGCACCCTATTTCTCATACTGGGTCTCCTTGCCCACCCTTAACACAAGAGGTTGGGGGTGTTTAGTTTTACTGCAACTTGATGTCCCATGTTTTGTTGATACCCATGGGAGGTCTGCCCTTTTCTGAATAGAAATAGAGGAGGAGTGGATTGGGGTGTGGCTGAGGGGAGGTTGTGGGGAGGGACTACGAAGACAGGAGGGAGGGGAAACTGAAGCCAGGATGTAAAATAAATATTAGAAAACATACTATGTGTCTTTATCTAATTCCTAAACTGTATAAATAGATTTAAAAGTAATGTTAAAATTTTCATAACAGATTAATAATATGAGGTTCAGAAACAACAATAAAAACACTTTGTCTCAAGTAATAGAGCTCATAAATGGGTGAGTTTTCTGACCAGAGATGACTTCTATACAGTACCAACCACAAGGCAAAAATAATTTAACAGTTTAAATTTAAATTTATAAACATTCATAACATCTCTTTTCATAAAGTGCCCCCAAATCCAAAAATAACTAAAATTTTATTAGATGGATAAATAATAAACCAGTTGTGATATGTCCATTCAGCAAAATAGCCCTCACTGAAGAAAAGCCAGCTCCTCAAGGAAGAAGTAACTTGCCTGGATCTCAAAGGCATTTTGCTCAATGAAAGTTCCTGCAGTGTATACCATACTTATCCAGCACTCTAATTCCAGGGATGTAGAGCAGATCAGTAACTTTCGGATGCCAGTCATGGGTAGGAATAGGGGACAACCAAATATAACTCCAAAGTGTTTTCTAGAGTGACTAAGTTACTTCATCCTGGTTACAAGGGTTTCATAAAACTACACATGTTGCCGCTGGTAGTATTAAAGAAAAGTTCATTTTATTGCCTGTTAACTTGCAAAAACATGCTTGCCCATAGGTCTCACCTTCTTCCCGATTCTTGTTCCCTGTTCCCTCTGCCTGCTCTCTAGGCTTCCCTAATCTCTCCTGGATATTTGATATCATTCCTTCTTGACTCTGGTCCCCAGGCAGAGTTTTCTTTTTATTACTCCATTGCCCCATTTCCATATGAACTCATTCTTACTCACAGCTTAAACATAATTCCCCTAACCTTGACCTTTATTAATATCTAGATTAATTTTTTTCTATTTAGAAAATGGGTAGAAACTTCCAACATGTGTTTCCACATGGGTCACCAAACTTGACACACCAAAGATAGAACTGGTGACTTTTGAATTCACTCCCTGTCTCCTGGCTGTGTTTTCCCTTAGGCCCCACACTTTCATAAAATTCATTAGTATTCTCCTGATTGGTGAGGCTTGAGACCTTGAGTTATTCTTGATCTTCTTTTCCTCACACACTCTGAGCAACACTTGAACAGTACACCCAAACCTGTCTTAGCAATCTCCAGTGTACTCCCTGAGTTCAACCCACCACCATGGCTTGCTTATCTTAGGACTAACTTTACTTTCACATGACTCACTATATGTTCCCTATAGAACTGTCAGTGTAGTGTGTGTGTGTGTGTGTGTGTGTGTGTGTGTGTGTGTGTGTGTGTCTGTCTGTCTGTCTGTCTGTGTACAGGTGTGCGTGTAAGCATGTGTGCAGGCCAGAGATTGACCTTGGATAGCATCTTTAATTGCCCTCTACATTGTTTTCTGAAACAGGCTTTCTCATTGAGTCTGGAGCCACTAATCTGGCAAGACACACTGGCCAGTGAGGCCCAGGGAGCCTCAGGTGTCTGTCCATCATTGGAATTACAGACGTGCACAGCCACATCCAGCTTTTTACTTGGTTTCCAGATATTTAAATTGAGGTCTTCATTTTTCCATGGCAAGCACTTTACTTCCTGAGCCATTCTCCAGCCCTGTAGTGATTTTAAAATGAAAAGAATACCCCACAAGTCTTTGTAAAAGACTTTGTACCTTCACATCACATCTGGGATAAAATCCAAGCACCTCTGAGTGGTATGAGGTCTGCATGATGTGACACTTCTCTCTGTGTATCTTGGAGCTTCATTCTACTCCACTTTTTCACTCTTTCCTGTCCAGACTAGCTTCTTAGCTGAATTCCAAACCAGCCAGCTCAGCTTCCCCTAAAGTCGTTCTTCTTACTGTTCTATTTCCTTCTCCTGGATTGTCTTTGAAGTATAAAAACTTCAGTTTCCTTTACCTGATCCAGAGAGTTTTAGATTTTGATTTTTCTTTCAGATTTAGGGTGTGTATGTGTGTGTGTGCACGTGCACGCTCGCTCGCGCGCGCGCGCGCGCGCGCGCACGCACACACACACACACACACATACACACACACACACACACATATATATATATATATATATATATATATATATATATAAAGAGCTATAGATATTTCTATATGAGATCCATTTCTCAACATCAGACTCATTTGTGGTTCCTACTTTTCTTAGACAGGCAGCCTGAAGGTAATATTACACAACAGTTTTCGTGCACACTCCCTGTTTTTATTACAATCTACCACATAAGAACAAGTGTGGAGTCTTCCACTTTGGTGCTGTGTCAGTACATCGATGACGATGTTAGATTTGGGAGCATTGCCAAGTTTACGTTTTCAGTTACCAGCAAGCAGCCTGCAGCATCATGGGATATGATCATGGAGATGTCTTGGATGACTTTTGTTTTTATCTCGTCTATATGAATTCACCACCATCTACATCTTCAGTTCCAGGGATCCACTGCTTTCCTCTGCTTCCTTGGGCATGGAACACACTCATGATACACATACAGATTTTCAGGTAAACACTCATACAATAGAGTAAACAAACCTGAAAAGTTAAATGAATCAGTGGCTCTAGATATGGGCAAAGCTCTGGTTCATTTTGGCAACCGGTGTCAGAGACAAGGAAAAGCTGGCCTCTTATTCACGAATGTGAGCTCCACCTCAGCACTGACCTTACAAGTCTCATTTCCTTCTATGCCACCAGCTTTACATGCCCATCACTGCCTATCCCCTGTGGACATGAAGAGTTTGGATTCCTGGAGAAGACTGTTTTTAGGTCATTGGAAACTATAATCATTTCTCCAACACTCATCAACTTTTAAGGAAAAACACAGGGAAGAATCTGTTTGAAGAGTTCTGTGTATACTTTCCCCATCCTTGCTAGGTACCTGTGGTGCTGTCTGCTGGTGGTTTTTTAAGTCATATATATCTAATATTATAATAATCTCATTAAAACATATAGGATGAAAATGGTTTGAACTCTGTGTAATGCTATAATAGCAACACTTGGGAGGCAGAGCCAAGAGTAGTATTCATGAATTCCAGGATATATAGAAAGTTTGAGGCTGGCTAGGACTGTGATGACTCAAAACAAAAGACAAACAACCTCAGATCTACAACTGGCCACGAGAAGTCAGCTAATGTTTTGGGTTCTTGACCTGAATGATTTACAATGAGCTACTTTCATAGTATATTAAAAATCACTCAGGGGCCATGGATATGGTTCAGTGGTAAAGGAGAGTCAGCCAGGCCTAAAAACCTGAGTTGATTACTAAGATCCACATGTCAGAAAGAAAAATCAGACTCCTGAAAGTTGTACTCTGATCTCCACACAATTGCTGTGGCTGCACACACACACACACACACACACACACACACACACACACACACACACACACACACATATGTGTAACATAATTTCTTAAAAATTATACTTAAACAGGATCTGTTTCTTCTCATATAGATACAATACATAAAGTATATGTCTCTAATAACACAATGTTGAGAATGCTTTTGATGAAAGTTTCATCTAATGGTGAAATGAGTGAAAGTTCCCAAATTCGAATCACATGACAGTGAGGATGAATTCACGGCACACTGTAAGGACTGAGTGGTTCTATTACATAATATTTCAAGATTTTCTCTAAAGAAATTAGATAACCATAAAACCTTTTCTTGGACAACTGTCCTACAATATACTCATTTCATAGAGGTGCTAGATTCATGGCTAAATATCATGATGCTCTGAAAAGATTTCTTCTGCCTATGGGTTTGGAGACACCTCAGAACACAGATTTTCACTGAGAAAGATTTGCCTGTCAGTAGTAAATATTGGGGTCTGGGGATTATCGTAGAGAGAACTTAGTTAAATATTCCCATCAGGAAAGTAAATGTAAAAACGCACTTTCACCTAATACGGTCAACTCTAAGGCAAATTGCTTTCCTGAGTAAATTCTAAAGAAAGCCCATAAGTCATAAACCATTATTAATAATGATCCCTTCTTTCATGATGCCTGAGAACTTGCTAGTCCATTTGCAAATTCACTTGCATATTTTAAAATATGCTTACCCCTAAGAGTATGGCTATATTTGAATACCAAATATTAATAAAAAAATTGCATCCACATTTTCTCTTCCTGAAAGGGGATTCCTGCAGGCATTCAGAAAGGTCCCAACCTCAGAAGTTCTTTCTTAATTAGTAGTCAGTTTCCCTCTCGTCTTATTTACTTTGCTCTTTAAAAGGCAAACACCACTGTGCAGAAACTGCACTATGAACACAGTAGAATGAGTGGACAGATGGAACGATACATCAACAATCATGAAACAGAATTCTATGCAGAGAAGAGTGAATTTCCTGACTTTTAATGGTGTCTCTTCATGAAGAAGCCCAGGAAGAATGTAAACATGCTCACTTGTCTATCACTCTATGTTCTTTGTCTCACATCAATAAAAATACACACGGTGCATGGAAATAGTGGGTGAAGGGCTTGTTTATGCAGAATTGGAAGGCTGTTCAAGTCGCAGCCCTATGACTTAGTGACTTTTGCTATGAGCATTTTGGCATTAGCAGCGAATGTGAAAGAGTGCAAAGAGCATTTTGAGAAAGAGATTCCACCAGAGTACAGTGGCTGTCACTCATGTAAGTTAGGCCACTGAGCACACAGTTAAGGGAAGTCATTAGAAGTAGAGGAACTGGAAGCACAGATTTGGTACTGAGCTAGAGCAGAGATGAAGATGAGAAACCAGGACAGTGTAGGAGGGAAGAGAGCACTTCAGAAACGTGAAAGTAATTGTCATGGTTTGGTTTCTATTGCTGTGATAAACAGCACAGCCAAAAACAACCTGGATATGCCAATTAATCATAATCCAACATGGAGTAAAGCTAAGGCAGGAACTGAAGCAGGGAAGGAACCTGGAGGCAGGAACTGAAGCAGAGGCCATGGAGGAACACTGCTCACTGGCTTAGCCTCCATGGCTAACACAGCCTGCTTGCAAACTCCTGGTTTGACCCTTCCTCATCAGTCGTTAATCAAGAAAATGGCTCACAGCCTTGCCTACAGGCTAATCTGATAAAGTCATTTTCTCAGCTGAAATTCCCTCTCCCCAGTTAGCCTGGCTTGTGTCAAGTTGACCCAAATTATCCAACACAGTAACCAACTGAGGAATGACTCTGAAAGCCTGATCAAACCAGGGGGGGTTAAACTTTATCTGCAAACATGAAAGGACAGAGATGAAAGAGTGCATGGAGGGTCAGAGACGGAGATCTGTTAGCATGGGTGATGAGGAAATACGAGGTCAGAGAGAGGGAATGCTTATTTTGGCTAACAAAAATGTTTTCATAGAAATTTAGTGGATGTGAACTCATTTGAGGGTATTTTTAAGATAGGAAATGTTAGTAATGTTAATTTAGAAGGCAGTAAGAATGATGATTCAGACAAGAAGGGGATTACTATGAGAGCCAATCTCTTGATTGATATCTTTTTAGAGGTAACAACCCCCAAACACACAAATGAAATGGCTTTGGCAGCAACAGGACCAGACTCCTTTGTATTAATGGGGTTGACATCTCTTCTTACAACTCTACGGGAGATCTGGGGACACTTGTGAGCTTGCACAGCAGTTTGCATCGAGTGGTTTTATGCTATAAAAGTCAAGAGAGGTAACTAAAATGGGGAGAGATGGTGAATAAATTTATAAGAGAAAGTGAAACCTGCTGCTGTTTGGAAAAGGAGGATAGCATTAAAGTGGGGAGGATGGAGGTGGGTTGGAACCAGACACTCAGAGCTTAGGAAAGCAGACAGTGTGCTTCTTTGTGGGGAAAGGGATTGGATAGGAAGCATCTACACATAGCAACTGTAACTGATAACTCCATAGGCCAACATTTTAAATACATCTCTAACAACAGGTATATTAAACTAGCAATTGAGCTGAGATGGGGAATTAGGTATGGCTGGGAGACACAGTGGATGAGCGCTTGGCTAGGCAGTGAGCATGTGAAATAGAACGAAACATTTGAAGAGATGTGATGAATGTCAAGGGCAAAAGAAGCCAGTACTGACAGCAGACAAAGGAGCATTTTATGTTTTGGGCATGCAGTTACAGCCTACAGCTTTTCTTTCCTCTTAAGTTTCCTTCATCCATGCTATTTCCTCTTCTTTGGGTATTATGGTGGAATCTTTAGTGTTTAACCAAGGTGATACAAGAAAACAGAACTTCACAAAGCATCTAAGTCATGAATCCAAGATTTTCAAGTCAGAAGATTGACCATCCTGTGAATCATTGTGCAGACTATTTTGTATCTGGTTCTTTCCTCAACAATAGAATGAAGCAGGTTACACATGTCAGTCCCCATCTTCACACTACCCCATCAGGCAACATGTTTAGAAACTTCTTCTTGGCCAAGATTTTCAGTGTTGTTCTTTCAATTATTCCTCTCACTTGATACTTGTAAAACCTCACTGACTTCCAAGGCTGTCATGGTTGCTACTTACTGTAACAATGTTTTCCATCAGCTCCTAGCTCAAAGCCAGGGTGGCAGGCACAAGTGAAGGACCCCTCTGAATTCACACAGCGATGAGCACAGGGAGCAAGTTCTTCATCACACTCATTTATGTCTGCAGGGAGAGACGCATAGCAGCTGTCATAGCGGCTCTAATTAAGACTTATTTGTAAATTATCAAAATGAATAAACTGTCACCTTCCACTTAACCTCTACTTTTCAATATAATACTAAATACTACAGACTCCATCCACTGAGTGAGAAGGAGGGATTTGTGAGCCAACCAGCTGCTATGACTCTGCCTGTGCATCCCGTGTTTTTCTGATGCTCACTAGTACTTCTTCATGTCTACTAGAACCAGATGCTATTAATTGGAAAAAACTGTGAATAATAGTTTGAATCCATTCCTCAACAGCACAAACAGAAGCCATTGCGGTCTGATGTTATGAACATATCATATTATTGAACAGATATTCCAATTCCCTGGCTTCTTGTTTACTTTTGAGATTGTATGTTAATTACATTTCTCCCCATCCTTCCCTCTCTTCAAAGCCTCCCACACACCCTTCCCCACTCTTCTTCAAATTCATGGCCTCTTTCTTCATCGATTTTTATTGCATGCACATGTGTATTTGAATATACTCCCATATTCCTAATACGATCCGTTGCAATTCCCTCTTTTAAAGGAGAAGATACAGTGACGGGAAAGTCAGATATGGGGCCTTTCCCATGGCAACCCACACTTGGTCCATATGCATTTTTATAACTGTTGTGACTGTGATGAGACATGCCATATGATCCTGGTGTCCTGTCTCTCTTCTGAAAGTGATGCTCACTTCGATCCAGCATGACCAGTTTTGTGGTCCTGGTAACCTCCTCTTCCTTTTAGCTGAAGAGGTCCTGTCACATCTTTTCTGACTAGTGCATCTATTTCCTTCACATCTGCCTTCCGCTCCCCACTCTCATGTACTGGTAGAGCCTTCAAATATGCAGTGGTACTGGGGAGAGATTTCTAGGATTAATGTATCAGACATTAAAATAGGAGCCAGAAAAATGTAAGTTATCTGTTTTTCTATTTATCTTGATTGTCAGTTTTCAAGAAATAGTACTTAAGATCCTCTACTCTCCCTTCTGCCAGGTGCCAAGCTAGGTTTGTGCTAAGAAATGAAAACCAGGGATTGGGACAATGGCTCAGCAGTTAAGAACACTGTCTGCTCTTTCAGAGGACCCAGGTTCATTTCCCAGCACCCATTGGGCAGCTCACGTTCTTTGTAACTCCAGTTCCAGGAAATATGATGCTCTTTTATGACCTCTGTAGGTACTGCATGCACGTAGTACAGAAATATGCATGTTGGCAATAATACCCATACATATATGAAATAACAAAACAATAATTAAAAACAGAAATGGAAACCAAGCTAGTATATCTTTGCCAGAATAATATGCTTAAAATCCATAAACTTTTTTTCTTTTTATTTCACTTTATTCATTTTGTGTGCATGCGTGCATGTGTCCACGGGGGCCAGTGTCAAGGTACACAAGTGTAGGTCAGAGGACAACTAGTAGCAGTTGGTTCTCTCCTTCCACCATCGGGGTTCTGGGACTTGAACTCAGGCTGTCAGGCTTGGCATCCAGTGTGTGCACCAGCTGAGCCAGCTCACAAGCCCCCATTTCTCCCCCAAATTCTCACACTGATTTTTGTGTCTAGTTTGTATTCATTTTCTCAAAATGTTTATCAGTACTGTAAGTCAAGGAACATTTTGTTGTTTTCATAATTAATCCAAATAAACTGTTTCTCATTTCATGGAAATGTCATGATAAAAATGAAGGATTCTGTGGTTTCTCAGAAGTTATTAAAACAAAGACTATCCCCCAGGAATTCCTTTGTCCTCTATTGGTGTCAGTCATGAAATAATTTAGCCCTTTCATCTCTGAACTGAAGTGTGTCTGCTCTGCTATTTCTGGAAACAGAAATGTGTAACCTTGTGTTTACGGGGGTTTCTTTTTCTTCTCATTTTAATTATTCCTAAGTTCTGAGGGCCTCATTTGCACATACTTGCTTTTCAAAGGTTACCCCCACCTCTGTAGTCTATAATCAAAAACTCCCTACGTGGTTCCTAAGGGTTTTGAAATATTAATTCTGGATTTCATTTTTTAAAAAAGAAACAGAAAACAAAAACCATTACTTCTGAAAGCACTCTAGGTCATTTTTTTACAAAAAGTAAGAATTTCACTGAGTTTTTTTTTTGTAGCATTCTAAAATACCTTTCATAGTGATCAAGTCAAGAATTAAAATGTTCTTTTTTAGCATAAATAAAAACACCCTTTCTCCTACCTGCTCCAACTGTTCAATCTGACTGCAACAGAGTTTCAAACAATTACCCAATTAAGACATCAGCTTCAGCCTCCTACCTTCGCAGGCCTTTTTGTCTTCAGACAGCTGGTACCCAGCATGGCAGGTACACCTGGCCACGCCATTCTCAATTTGACATAGGTGAGCACAGCCATTCCCACCTGCACAGGGGTCTGTCTCTGAAAACAAAGAAGCGGTGCGAGTTTGAAATTTGTTCAGTTTAGGAAGACGTGCAAAGCAGATGGCTGGCCAAAGGAAAGTCACGGAGCTGTTAGAGTTATTTGTTTCCCACTTAAAGACGGCTAAAGATTCCAGAACAGTCTTTCCCGCTTTCCTATGGGACTCATTCAACAAAAGCATTTCTGCTTTGTGATCTGAGCCCTGATTCTGGACAAAATAAATAGAGAGATCATAGTCAAAAGGGACTTAATTTAATATCCCTGTTTCCAGGTTTGCATCTCCTGCCCTCTGACACACAAGGGAATCAACAGTTCCTTTGGATGGCTCTGTTCTGTTTCTCTATCCAGGGTTCTACACCTTTGAAGAGTTAGATTCTCCTTAGACCAACTCTTTCCCTAGATTCCTCCTGATATTGGATCAGCAATCATGGCACTAAGAAAAAGTGGATGGAGAAACAAAGGGAAGATTCTCAGCTATATCCAGTGGGGATGGAAATTTAATCCTTCCTTCCCTTTGAGGAAAGGGTCTTTGTATGTAACACAGGCTGGCCTTGAACCCAACCTGACCCCCGACGATAACTTCAGAATGCTAGGGTTACAGACATGTTCCACCACAGTTGCTAGTAATTAACTTCGAAATTTCTAAACATCCTTAGTTGTCTAAGACCAGTTATTGGTCCCAGATTATAATTATTGTTATAAACTGTTGAGTGAGGTTTTCTTGTATTTGTTAAGGACTTTTGAATTTGAGAAATGTTCACTTATTCTGTATTCTTCTTATTTGGTATGTCTGTTCTTGGCTCTGGGACAGAGTGATGCCAGCGTCACAGAATGTGTCCCATGGTGCTGTATGCTTGTCCCATCTGATAAACACTAGAGCTTTGGTCTAAGTTCTTTAAGAGCTTTGGGGGAGTTGTCTTGGTGATTTTTGTTTCGCAGAACTGAACATTGATTCAGCCCTTCAGTAGACACAAGGATGTTCAGACTATCTCTCTCTAAGAGATCACCATGCTGTTTTTCAAAGAATGGATCCAGTTTTACCTAGGTCATACAAAGGAACTGATAGAAATAGTTGGAGACTTGGATATTCCTGTGACTGCAATTTATAAGACAAAGTCACAGAAGGGACATGGGGTAACATTCGGTGGCAGATTGTCTGTTAGTAAACATCTAGGGTTTCCTAAACATCCAGTGTTTGTTCCCAGCATCAAAAAATAATATACTGATGCAATGAGCACAAGATCTGGTCCCACTGCCTGGATGCCTCCCAAACAGATCAAGCCAATCAACTGTCTCATCCATTCAGAGGGCCTGATCCAGTGGGGACCCCTCAGCCATTGGTTCATAGTTCATGTGTTTCCATTCATTTGGCTATTTGTCCCTGTGCTTTATCCAACCTTGGTCTCAACAATTCTCGCTCATATAAACCCTCCTCATTCTCGCTAATTGGACTCCCAGAGATCCACCCGGGGCCTAGTCATGGATCTCTGCATCCAGATCCCTCAGTAGTTGGATGAGGTTTCTAGCACAACAATTAGGGTGTTTGGGCCTATGCAGGATTGTTTGGCTCGGCCTGGGAGGAGGGGACTAGACCTACCTGGACTGAGTCTACCAGGTTGACCTCAGTCTGTGGGGAAGGCTTTGCCCTGGAGGAGATGGGAATGGGGGGGGGGGGGTTGGGGGGAAGGTGAGGGGGACGGGAGGGGGGAGAACAAGGGAATCCGTGGCTGATATGTAGAACTGAATTGTATTGCAAAATAAATTAATAAAAAAAAATACTTATTAAAAAAAAATAATATACTGAAACAAGATGACAAGACATTAAAAATTATGGAGACAAAACTTAACTATGACACTACACCAACTAACATTTTTAACTCCTTCAGTGTTCTCACAGTATACATTCTTTTTCAATGCACAGAGAGCTCTGAAATGACAGACCATGAACTGAGTCAAAACAAAACATCAAAGGATATAAAATTACTACAGGGGATTTTTTTTCTATTTTTCTGTTCTCCTGCCAGTGCTGTTTACATGGGTATTAGGCACCAAAACACAGTTCCTCATGTTTGGTCAGTAAGAACTTTCACACTGTGCCCATCTCCCCAGCCCAAGGCAAACATACATATGTATATATGTATGTGTATGTATATTTATATGTATATATATATTTTTACTATTTAAAATTTTTTAAATTTTATATCCCTACTTCAGTTTTCCCTCCTTCTTCTCCTCCCATTCCGTCCCCATACCTTCCCTCCAACCCCCTCAATCCACTCCTCCTCTGTTTGTGTTCAGAAAGGATTAGTTCTCCCATGGGTATCAACAAAGCATGGTATATCAAGTTGCCTTAAGAGTAAGCACCTCTTCTTGTATTAAGGCTGGACAAGGCAATCCAGTATGGGGAATGGGGTCGCAACAGCCAGCCAAAGTGTTAGGGACAGCCCCTGCTGCCACTGTTAGGAGTCTCACTAGTAGTCCAAGCTACACAACTGTTGCGTAGGTGTAGAGGGCCTAGGCTGGTCCCATATAGGCTCCCTGGCTGTTGGTTCAGACTCTGTGAGTTCTGATGAGCCAGGTCAGTCACTTCTGTGGGTTTTCTTGTGATGTTCTTGGCCCCTCTGGCTACTTCAATCCTTCCTTCTCTTCAACAGGATTCCCAGAACTTAGCCTAATGTTTGGCTGTGGGTCTTTGCATTTGTTTCCATCAGTTACTGGATGAAGGCTCTCTGATGACAATTGGGGTAGTCACCAATCTGATCATAGGAGATGCCAGTTCAGGCTACGTGTCCCCTGTTGCTAGGAGTCTTAGCTGGGGTCATCCTTGTAGATTCATAAGAGTTTCCCTTGCATCAGGTTTCTACCTGACCCTGAAATGCACGTTTCCAGTCATCTCTTTCAGTACTGTCTTCCACCATCTACCACCCAACCCAATCCCTCATGTTCCCATCCCAGGAGATCTCTTCTATTTCCCCTTCCCAGGGAGAGCCATGCCTCCCCTGCTTGGGCCCTCCTTGTTTTCAGCCTCTCTGAGTCTATGGATTATAGCATGATTATCCTTTACTTTACAGCTAATATCCACTTATGAGTGAGTATATACTATGTTTGTCTTTCTGAGTCTGGGTTACCTCACTCAGGATGATTTTTTTTTCCACTTTCATCTATCTGCCTTCAAATTTCCTGATGTCATTGTTTTTAACAGTTGAGTAATACTCCATTGTGTAAATGTACCACATTTTCTTTATCCATTCCTCAGTGGAGGGGCATCTAGGTTGTTTCCAGGTTCTGAGTCTGACAAATAAAGCTGCTATGAACATAGGTGTCCTTGTTGTATGATTGAGCATTCTTTGGCTGTATGCCAAAGAGTGGTTTAGCTGTGTTATATTCCCAATTTTCTGAGAAACTGTCATTTTGATTTCCAAAGTCACTGTAAAAGTTTGCACTCCCATCAGCAATGGAAGAGTGTTCCCCTTGCTCTACATTCTCAACACCATGAGCTGTCTTGTGTTTTTGATCTTAGGCATTCTTACGGGTGTAAGAACAAATCTTAGAGTCATTTTGATTTGCATTTCCCTTATGGCTAAGAATTTTGAACATTTCTTTAAGTGTTTCTATGCCATTTGAGATTCTTCTATTGCAAATTCTCTGTTTAGGTATATACTTCATTTTTAAAATAGGTTATTTGGTTATTTTATGTCTATTTCAAATACTTTTAAATAACTCAAAATGTCATTGAAATGAACAGGGCAAAATTAAAACAGTGCTAGAATCTGAAAGTTTTAAATATTTATACCAAAAGTCAATACTAAAATTTAGAATTTTCAAAAACTAAATAAAGTCAACCCAAAATAAATAGAAAAATAACTTTGATAACAAAATTTTAAAAAAACACAATAAATAAAAGATACACAATGAAGTAAATTTTTCAAAAGATGAGTGGCATTATCAGTACTTTAAGCTAGCTGAAACTAAAACAGGATCACAAACAAGAGAATACAACAAACAATTTATACACATATACTTGACAAGTCTGTATGATACAGGCCAAAACCTGCCAACAGAACGAACTAGGAAAATTTACCGAAACTGCATTAAGAAGCCATAGGAAGCTTTTGAACTCCATTTCAACTTCTAAATTTGTTATCAAATTTGATTTTTTTCCTCAAGAAATTAATAAATCATCTCAAACATTTAAACAAACAAACAAACAAACCAACAATTATCCTAATGCTATAGAAACCTTGGCAGAAAAAAATTGTTGATGCTTCTCATCTTTAGGGTCCAGCTAATATTCAGCCATATGATAGTACAAACATAAATGTCACAGAACAATAGTCCAAATTAGCATAGAGGCAGAAATGCCATATCATATCTTTACTGACACTTCCAAGGTTTACCAAGGTGATGATGCACCTAGAATCCTCATATATGGAGTGGGAACATAAGATTGTTTAATTCTATAGGCTGAAGAGGTGGTTTAGAGAGCCAAGGTACTTACTGCCAAGCCTGATGACCTGAGTTCCATTCCTCAACCCCATGTGCTGAGATGAGAGAACCAACTCCTTTCTTTAAGTCATCCTCTGACCTCTACATACATGCTGTGGATTGTGCACCCACACACAAACACCAGGTGTGCACCCACACCCACACACCAAATAAATACATGGAATACATTTTTTAAAATGGTTAGTTCTAGAAGATACTGTGGCAGTGTTTAAAAGGTTAAATGTGCAGGTAGAATATGATCCAATAATACTGCTCTAGGCTGGTTATGACTTAATAAATGCTCCTTTTTAAAAACATGGAATGAAGTATTGATAGGTATAAAACTAGATGAATCAATAAAACATTATGTTGAACAAAAGGTGATAGACAAGTGATCACAGGCAGACTAAAACCATTTACATGACTTCTGCAAACCACAGGTCTAATCCTCAGTAGAAAAAACCAGACATAAGTTGCTTAAGTGGTATGATGGGTATTCTTGGTTGTCTTCTTGA